TTGTTTGGGTTTTTTAGCAGGTTACCAAATGTTAAAGACACAGCTCTTTTATCTACAATGCCTTTCTCAGCCATGCTTGCAGGCATCTCTCTGGTCTGGACCTATCTGGTAGGTAGGAAGCCTGCCTACCACTCTGCTTCAGAGTTTCCGCATGGGTCCTCTGCTCTGTCTCATGATCTCAGGGCTGCAGCGTCAGCCACTTTGGAGAAAGGTCTTGCAATGCACTCTACTTGTCTCTTGATGATCACAGGATTCTTCTCACAGCTCCTGAGGTGGCTCACGCTTATACACCTAGTGGAATGGGAAAAAGCAACAATCTCTGAGTTAGAGTCTGCGCTACCTAGTTACATATTACAAATAACGTGGATAGAAGAACCATAGTGAGTATTTTTGCTTCACCGTAGTGCTCTATTCTTGACAGGGATTGTAAATTTTAAAAGAGGCTTTGACTCTGAAGGAAGGTGCTGAAGGGTTGGGAGAGAGACCGATTCCAACCATACCTCAAAGGAGAAGCATTTATGTGGTGGGAAAATATGAATTGTTCACTACTGAAAAGTAAGCACAAAGAAACTCACGCGTACCTTGTTTGTTGGGTGCCCTGACATGAACCAGGAAGTCGAGACAGTCGATCCTTTCCCAGATCCTGGCTATAATTGGGAAACTACGTGTTCTAAGGATGAGTGCTCTGCTTCATTGACGGATGTGACTGATTCATTCACTCGTTGTCTTCAGCATGCGTATGATTGGTGGGATGGATTGAGCAAAGAGGAAACGTTGAAAAGTAGAAGATCAAGCGAATGCCTCACGGAAGAGGCTCTGGAGAAGTAGCACAAGTCATGTGATCCTGTGGTTGCTGTTGGGTGCCCTCAAGTCAGTTCTTGACTCGCAGACGCCCTGTGTGCAACCGAAGGACCACAGCCCGGTTGGGCGCCTTCTCCGACTGCTGTCATGTCGCAGCCACGCGTCGGTCCATCCTGTGGAGAGTCTTCCTCTTTTTCGCTGTCCTCTACTCCACCAAGCACGATGTGTTTTCCCCGGGGCTGCTGCCTCCTAATAACATCCACAGTACACGAGGTGATGGTCTTCAGGAGCAGTCTGGCTGTACCTCTTTCAAGACAAATATGTTTGTTCTCCCGACAGCACATAATTTCAAGATTCTTGCCGGCACCGGCATTCAAATGCATGGATTCTTCTTTGGTCTTCTACACTGAGCATTCAGCTTTCACATGCGTCTGAGGCGACTGAAAATACTATGGCTTGGAGCAGAAAATATGGAGTTAGGCTCTGCGATAGATGGGTTCCTGGAGGCAGGGATGAATATTGCACACTTAGTTTCCCCAGTTGATGCAATAACGTGGAAGGCAGGGTCCGCTGCTGAGCACTGGAGATTCCATCACAGCTGGAGACGGTTTGCTAAGGCCCATCCCCAACCGTGGCTGAGTCTCTTCCCTAGGGTTTTACTTACTGCTTACATTTGTCTTAACGCTGCCCCTGAGCATTGTGGATACCGTGTCAACATAAAGAAGGAGCGTGTGTTCATAAAAAGGCATTCTCCACCCGACTGATCTTTGGATTTCCAAACAGCAAGCTGGACTTCTTCCCACTGCACTCCATTCATCTGGTCTTCTAGGCAACAAGAGGAGACAGAGACAGAAAGATGGATGGTGTGTGCGCGTGTGCACATATTGTGCTCTTGAGGGGCGATGACACGCATAGGGCCGCAGAAATCATTGCATGTTGCAGAATGAAAAATTTGCAAGTCACTGCTTTCATTCATGAAGAAAGTTTACTCAGTACTTACCTCTGAATCCTTTAATCCAGATGGCTTCACGTAGCAAAATTCTGCTGTTCATCCTACCCAGATAACCCTGAGTCCCTATCGCTCTGCTCCGATTCTGAGCCAAACATCATTCAGCAATGAGTTAAAAGTAGGAAGAGAATGGCTCTTGTTGACTAGCCAGGCATTAGTCCACTGGCTTCGGTTGCAGGACACCTCCACTGAATTCTGAAGATCAACTTCGACTACAAATGCTTGTTTTGGGGGGTGGGAGGAGAAGGAGGAATGAGTATCAATGGGTATAAAATAGTGTTTTCAATGTTTTTGAATTAATGAAAAAGCTATCATAAGCAATTCTCAACCTGATACCTCAACATGTATTTCACGAGTGAATTCATTATTCCCATAGTCTTCTACTGCTCTGTAGAGGCAAGGATGGCCATACTTCGTCTTATTGTCAGGAGAGACCAGTCCCTGAAAAAGAACCTTATGTTGGGTAAGGTAGAGGGGCAGTGAAAAAGAGGAAGGCCCTTGAGTTAGTTAATTGTGTCAACCTGGCCGATAATCACATGTGGGGCTAATTAAAAGGCAGAGGGATAAATGGGTGGTGAGCCTCGCCTTTCTAGTTCTTGGGTCTCTTGTTTTGTGATGGCCGCACCAGGGTGCAGCTGCCTTAGCAGTTCCCTGCTTCAGCTTGCAAGATTGACTTCCTACAAGACATCCCCAAGGAGAAGCCACATGGACCTATCCCTATGCAGCCCTGGGTGCTGGAGCAGCCGTGTGGAGACCCCTGCTAGTGCTGAGATGCTTATTCGTTGACTGACTCAGCTTTCCTCCTGCAGTCGGCATCACTGCCTCTGTTTTGGGAGGTGGAGGACTTTGTGGACTGGTGTTGGGTTAATGGGTTAATGTTGGACTTGTGGGCTTGGGCAGCATTGGGTTGGGATGTTTTCATGATGCACACTTTCTTTACATAAAACTCTCTTACACATGAGTTGCTGAGGATTTGTTTCTCCAAGTACCCAGACTAATACAGCCCTCAACAAGACGGACTGACAGAGTGGCTGCAGCCATGGGCTCAGGCGCAGGAACAATTGCAAGGACGGCACAGAAGCGTGCAGTGTTCTGGGTCTGTGGTGTGTAGTGTTGCTATGGGGCAGAACTGACTCATGGCGCGCAACCACTATGGCCCCTAACCAACAACAGTCTTCCGTTTTCAATGTCTCCCCCCAAACATTTCAACCTGGATGACTGCACTGCTCTTCTTTCATGACAGAGCCTGCCAGCCAATCCTTAGGAGTGTGGAGACCTTGCCCGAGCCATATGCCTGTCTTAGGGATGCGATGCAGTTGAGAAGGAAGTCGTGTGAAGTTTTACCTCAAGGTATCATAGGCCAGCATTCAGAAGCACATCCATGACTGTTCCTAGGGGACTAGAAAGGGGCAGAGACACTGTGAAATGTGATGGAAAGAAAAGGATCCGCTTAATCTGGAACGTGGGGCACATGAGGAAGCTCAGTGGGCTTACTTGAATGTGCAGATAAGACACCTGTTTCAAGGTGGCTTAAGGACAAACCAGATGTGTTGGGTCAGACCATTGCAGCCTCCATCAAGGATCCTGGATTGGGAACAGCTGGGGTTTGGGGCTCTGACTGTGTCATCAGAACTTAGTTCTTCTCTTTTCCCTGTCACGAGCCTTCTCTTTGTTGGCTTTCTTCTCATCCGGGTTTCCCTCTGTTTCACCAGTGCCACGCTTAGCACCTATGCTTCCGGGACTCATGGGTGGGGGTGGGGGTGGGGAGAATAAAGCTCTTTCAGTATTTGCAACAAAAGTCTTGGATTTATTGTCTCTAAATGTCTTGGCTTTGATCAAATCCGCCTATCCTCAGAGACTATATGGTTGAAAGAGAGGTGGTTCTTCAATGAAAATCTTTGTGTTCTTTCCATGGGGCTGGGATGGGGGGGATTCCTGAGTGGTGGCAACAGTATTTCACTCAACTGCTAAATGGGAGGATGGAAATTCGAGTCCACACAGTGGTGCCCTGGCAGAAAGGCCAGAAATCTACATCCGAAAAGCCAGTGCTTGCAAGCTCCCTGGAGCACAGTTCCACCCAGACACCCACAGGGGCAGCTTCAAGCAACTGGTTTCGTTGTTGCTGCTGTTGACCCTTGATGAGATAGGTGGGGAATGGCAAGTAGGCCAAAGAACAGAAGCGCTCCACTGCTTTCCGGTCTGTGCCGAGCTCTCCCGGGGATGAGGAGCTGAGCGTTTCTAAAGCAGCAGGCCTCTGTCAGATCTCAGCGCAGTCCCCAAAAGGACCTTAGCGCAGCAGAACCAGGCAGCCAGGATGTGCCGTGTCCTAGGCCCATCCACATGTTCAGACTAGAAAGAACCAGAAGAGTAGCTGTCAGGAATTCTGTACAAGAAATTCCTACATTAGGCAGAGCTTTGCCTACGTGACCTGTAAGGTCCCTTTTGACTCTATAATTCTATTATCCTTGTTCATTTCCACAATTCAATTTGCAGCACAGGATAAACAAACCAACCTAATTTGATCTGGAACTTCTGCGGGCTATCACAGGTCGGTTAATCTGAAACATCTGGCTAGAGCCATTACTGTGTTTTCTGAAGTCATCTAGCTGACTTGTCCTGGAGACGAGCTCCCTGTTCCTCGTTCCACTCAGGCTCTCTTCTAGGCTAGTCCCACGGTCGCTTTTCATTCTCCCGTCCACTGGGTGGAGGGAGATGGAATGGATTTTCCTCTTGCTGCCCTTCTCCTCTTAAATCGTATCATATGTGAGTCCCAATTAAATCACATTACTTCCGTTCCGATTTGGCTTTTACACAGCAGGTCTTAAGTCTCAGAAAGAGGAGACGGGGTCATGGACGACCGCAGCTCTGGAGGAAAAGCACCAAGGCAAATTTTCAAAGAAGGAAGAGGGAACTCGTAACCGTGTGATATTAAAACCAAATCTGTAAAGTAAATTTAACTCGTGACAATGTTATTAGGACGGGGCTGCCTAAACCATGTGCATTTCACCGATGAAGAAACATGCATGCGTGTGCTACAACATGGTAGCCTTCTTTCCCCCCCGCCAGGCACGTCTGTCCCACACTCCGCTTCCCCTGCAAGCGAATTGGTCCAGCATCCAGCCAGCAAATGGAATTTTGCCAGCCGGGCGTGTCAGCCTTAGTAACTGATGACTTCTCTTGTGTTTTTCAGTGAACGTGGTGTCGATGTTACAGGAATTCTGGGAAAGTAAGCAGCAGCAGAGGGCTGCCTTCCCAAGTGAAGGTGTGGTGGTCTACGAGTCCCTGCCGTCTCCGGGACCGCCCTTTGTGAGTTACGTGACCCTCCCGGGAGGGAGCTGCTTTGGCAACTTTCAGGTAGGAGGCAACGGCCAATCGGCCAGTGAAAGTGCACTGCGCGAAAACCGCCCATCTTTTCACAGAATGGCAACATGAAACATTTTCTGCGATAAAATGAAATATGTGGTGCTGCCTTCCATTGTAGACAATGAAAATCTGATCAGGAGTTCCTCGTTTTTAAGTGTTTTCGCTCAGGAAGGATGTTGTTGTGTGCGGCATCCTCTGCTTTCTCTCTGGGCTCTCGTGTCCATGGAAATGGCTACCCAAACCTCACGGACACTAGTCATGAGTAAAGGGTTCACTCAGAAAGTCGAGAACTGGTCATGTGAGCGAAAAATGCTCAGGGTACAATTGCTTTCAGGGCATGTTATACAATTGTTCAGTTCTGCTAATAAATGCCCATCAGGGCCGATCACTCCACCATAAGCCTCAGTGATCAAGCAGACCACTCGAGCTCCATGTGCCAGAAACGCAGCTCCCTGAATGGAGCACCCAGCGGCACCCACTTCATAAGACAGCCTCCTGCAAAGCACGCAGCCTTACTTGCTGTGGGCTGGGAAGTCCACCACGCTGATCCATGCTCCGGCTCCTGGTCTGCTGCTGCTCCCCTGATGTGACAGCTGTTGTCTGGGTCCAGGAGGTTTGTTGTGCAGGGATCTCAAGTCCAGAGGATGCACCCTACTCCTGAACCTTGTCTGGTAATGCAATCCCTCCTCCTGCATCTCAGGGGGTCCCATTTCATGTAGAGCAGGATGACATTCCAGCTCACAATTACTCACAAGTGTTTAGCTTTCAGATTTCCTCAGCTTTGCTATTAGGGACAATACCCATGGGATTAGTTGGCAGTCAGTCACATGAGCTAGGGATTCCAAGTATTGGTGTTATAGTTCTTTAAGACTGGTAGTGGTTAGCTCATTATTATGTTTATACATGAGATGGGGTGTCAATGAGGATACACTTATTGTTGTGCAGCTACTCAAGCAAAATATTGGCCCACACAGATCATCGACATCTGGCTACCTGGTGTGCAACGAGCAGCCAATGAATGACTAGGAAATGTCAAACACTGGGCTGAGGAAAATCCTTACCCTGAGGAAATCAGTGTACTAAAAACACAGTAATTACACTAAGTTATAGGAGAGAGTCGATGACGCCACACAGGAAGGAACTTACCAGTCGTCTTTCTAAGTACCCCTCTAATACAGTACATGAGCTCTCACTTTTCAGTAATGGCGGAGATGCTGGATTTATAGCTTGTGGACACTGTGACCTCATAAGCAATCACGTTTTCCTCTTAGCTGTAACAACCGAGACGGCCAGGACCACATTTTCAATTTAGCTCATGGTTGTATAAGCATAAGGAACCTAATGTCATGTACTTTTTAACGGCATATATATTATTTTATGTTTATACTTTTATTCTCCCTTGGAGCTTAAGTTGCCTCGTCCCTCATTTTACCTTGTTGCATGTCAGGATATAAATTTATTTTGCCTCAAGTCCCTTTTGGAGGGGATGTATAATTTAATAAATAAACTCACAAACCTATGCCCCAGGGAGAGCAGAGAAAGACCCATCTGGAGAACAGAGGTGAGTCGAGACTCGCAGTGAAGAGTGTCTTGCCAGTCAGAGAAAAGAGACAAGCCATTCTAGGCTTAAGAAATGATGTGTTCAAAGGCACAGAACAACAGGAAGCCACGAACTCTTCCAGAACCTGAGAGCCTGAGTGTGTATCTATGCAGTAGGGAAACCTGGGGAGGTGACAAGCGATTGCATTATACTGCAAGAGACCTCCATGCCTCATAAAGAGCAACAGGCTTGATTCGACATAAAATCAGAACCACATTAGGATTTTGAACAGGAGACTGGTCTATTCAAATGGTCTTCAGAATGATCACTGGAGCAATAGTCTGAGGATGTGATAGAGCTACAGGGAACTCATAGCCCAGGTGCCAACAGGAAGGTGAGAAATAAATGCCCAAGGAGGTGAGCTGTGTGGACAATGCGTTGAAGAGGTAAAGGTGAAAGAACTTCACTCAGTACTGGACTTGGATGATGTCTCCCTTCTGCCTTTGGAGTCCCCCTAGGCAGAGACGTGCAGTAGACTACGAAATGTAGTTCCAGGCTGGTTCCTATATTTCTGCACATTTTCACTTGCCTGAAGCTATGCTGTGTCTAGGGAAAAGATGTAGCATCAGAAGAGGAAGGAGAGTGTTCTTAAGAACAATCTGTTTTTGTGAAAAGAAAATTTGCTTAAGAAGTCTGAGGCTTGACCGAGAAGAGCTAAAGAGCCAGAAGAGATTGATGGAGCTCACGGGGGCCCAGTGAGATGTGCTCATGTCTTTTGATCCATGCAGAGGTCTTGGTGACCTTCAGAGGAGCAGTGGCAGTGGATAAACATGGGATGCAATCAGGTTACAGAAAGTGAGAGGGCAAGAGGGGACTTAGAAGTGGAGACCAAACCATACTCACTACCATGGGAACGATTCCTAATGTGTTAGACCGGGTTGATTAGAGAAACAAATCCAGGGACTTACATATACATGTGTGTGTGTGTGTAAAAGAGAGCTTCATATCAAGATGTAATGATGTATCAAACAAACATCCCGGCCCAGTCCATAGCAAGTCCATAAATCCGATACTACTCCATAAGTCCAATACTAGTCCATCAATCCTTCTTCAGACGCATGCAGCCACACACAGTGACGTAGAATGCAGGAAGATCACAGGCCAGTGGGTGCAAAGTCTTGTAGATTGATGGCGGTAGACACATCTCCAGGGCTCTGGCTGCCATGAGCATGGCTCGAAGTGGCTCGTCCAAAGAAGGGGAAGGG